AATGACTTCCGGAGTGGTTCACTTTGTTAAAGTGGCTTCATTCTGCTTTAATCTCATCAGTTATTATTCTGATTTCGGAATGTTTTAGGCAATCCTCAAGTTCATTCGATATAAAAATTGTTTACATATGCAAAGGCGTTGAGAATGTACTTGAGGATCAGAAGATATTCTTGAGAAATTGTTTGGATTCATGTTGTTTTGCTGATAGTTATTACCAGCATTTTAAGGGTAGTAGAACTCTTCAAGGAATACTCATACGTCAAAAATAAGGAACAAACATTTGAGTGGTTTATCGCATATGACTGAATTGATTGGTTATCCTAGAATAATGAATGCATGCGTTGTTGTTTACATGATATCGTTTGCTTTTCTGCTAATTGGAACTCAGGAAATGTAGTGTTCGGTGATTAAACTCTGGATATCATGTGTTACTCATCTCATATTAGCCACTGGATCATTGAATTGTTGCAATCGCTCGGTTGTTATGTCACAATAAACAGTTGAGTTAGGTTGACAATGGCAATAAGAGAAATCCAATCAAAAACATTAACTTATCATTTGGGTTGTTTGTTATCTTCCATAAAATCGCTGGAGTATCAGCTGCAAGCACTCATCTGTTATGCAATTATTTATTATGGGCGATTCATTCACACATCTGTTGCTTATCGAGCCATTAAAAATTGCTCTCTATTCTTTCACGGAGCTCAAGTATAAATCAATGCGAGTTATCCTAAGATCGCAGATATACAACAATAGTTAAGTTGGAAATTTCAATTCTGATCTTTTCTAAGTGAGGAATGTTTTTGAACATTGCAAGTTCAATGATTATAAAGTAAAATCATGATTTGCTGTCGAAGTGGTGTCCATTGACGATATGTACTCGATTCGAAAGAATCATGAATATTCATTGAATGCTTTGAATTTCATATCAGTCATTGCTTCATCTTTAAGAGTATTTCCGATGTATTCGGTTCATTCATGATCGACTCTTTATTTTGAAGCAACTGGAGCATTCAGCTTCAATTCACGTTCAGAAGTCGCATTCCCTTCTTGCACTTCTGGCTGAACATCCCAAACAATTGCATGTTGCGGTGTTTTTTGCTTCATTGAATAAAAAATTTCAGATGAAACCTCCAATTAATACGGCTGGGATGTATGATATGTATGTGGCACCTGAGGATGCAACAGCAGCAGCTCGTCACGCGAACACGAATGGTAGTTTGCGATATGACGTCGACGACACTAACATTGCATCGTATCCGTGTAACAAAATGGTTCGATTTGTTTTTTGAACATTTATATCCTTTTTAGTTTCAGTCAACATTTCACTGTTCTTCAATAGAACGCATTATTTAACGGAGATGATGGATGATCTCATTGAAACATCATCTAACAGAAAATGTCTCATTTGATTCGTAAAGAGTGGAAAATTGGTTGTCAAAGTGATCAATCACAGTGAGTTCAGTTCACGGGTTTGTAGTTGATTGATAGATGAAGTATTCGATTGTGCTGATGAAATGGATGGTGTGTTTCATTGATGAGGTGTGCTAGCAGCAAATTTTGAAACGAAAACACAGCATGGTGCTGAGCATATGCGATAGTGCGTTTTTTTCTAACAATGGCGATTATTTTTTTCTAGCGATAGCAATTGATTTCCTAGCACCACACTCAGCGATGCTGAAAATAAATTTGTTTCAAATGGAATTTAGTCAAACGATGATTTTTATTTGGACCCTATTTTTGTTGAAGTAACCATTCAAGGTGAATGAATTTGGTTTGTTTACAGAACATTTACACGTATGAAGAGGAATCTATTGTGATATATCTGAAGAATTCAAACGAGCGAGTTGGTTTCTCGATGGGTGGAGGTGCGGATGAGAGTCTGGATAGTTTTATCAACAGTGTTACACCTGGTTAGTGCTCAGCCAAACCTTTAAAAGCTGTACTCAGTTTGTCTCGTTTCGCAAAATAATGAAGATCTATCTCACAGCATCACTTGCTGCATGAATACTTCCATAAACTAGAATGAATTTCCACTGGAATCATGTCGATTCGTAAGCATTTGGTGGCATTTAGCGAGTTTGTTCAACGCCGAATGCGATCCAAAACTGGTCGCATCAAAGAGGGTCATTGCAAATTTCCATTTGAATTTCTTTTTTGTTCTGCAAAATCGTCAGCGTTTTGGCTTGGCTAAATAAACCGACATTCGAGCGAGCACATTTTTCGTCATTTCTCATGGCGATATATATCATCATCGTCTTTTCGTGCGTTAGGGCAATTAACGTGAACAGGCCTTTGAACGGGAGCAGATTTAATTTAATTGTTGGATCATTTTTAAATGTTATCACTCGCCAGTATCACTGGAAAAATGTTATCAGTGTTATATTAGATAGTTCTTTAATTTATCGTTGCAATCAGTCTGATATATCGCCGCTTGTTGACTGAAAAAAATCCTACTTTTTGTGCTCTGATCAGTGATTGATCGGATACACTGGCGTTCCGTCTATTGATGGCTATCAGTTGATCTCACGTGATCGCCAATATAAGCTTATTAACAAAGTAAAGCTTACGATCAGTTATTTGAGTAAAATTGCAAGCAGTGTTCGCGTTGAGCAACACTTCTTTATGCTCGTGTTTTGTGATTTTATACAATCTGACAATTGGGATTTGGCTATAGTATGGTGATCACATTCGTCCTCAAATTCAACACCGAGCTGAATTAGAGTAGAATTTTGATTCATTTATTTTGTAATTTAATTGAATTTGAGGGCACGGGCAAATCATATGCTCGAAAACTAGCGCCCTGCTTGTTCTGTTCAGTTGTTTCAAAATCGCTGCCGTTCATTTAAGTATCTCATGCTTTAGTCTTACGAAATAAATATGCTTACAAATAGGGTTGTTTTTTTTGAGATCTCATTCAATCTTCAAGGATTGAGTTGCTAGAGAGTAGCACTTATTTCGCAAGATTGCATCAAGTAATGG